CCCCTGGTAGAAGTACTCAGATCTTGTACTTGAGTAGAAGTAGAAGTACTCAGATCTTGTACTTGAGTAAAAGTATAAGTATTCAGATCTTGTACTTGAGTAAAAGTATAAGTACTCAGATCTTTCTTGAGTAAAAGTAGAAGTACTCAGATCTTGTACTTGAGTAAAAGTAGAAGTACTCAGATCTTGTACTTGAGTAGAAGTAGAAGTACTCAGATCTTGTACTTGAGTAAAAGTATAAGTATTCAGATCTTGTACTTGAGTAAAAGTATAAGTACTCAGATCTTGTACTTGAGTAAAAGTAGAAGTACTCAGATCTTGTACTTTAGTAAAAATAGAAGTACTCAGATCTTGTACTTGAGTAAAAGTAGAAGTACTCAGATCTTGTACTTGAGTAAAAGTAGAAGTACTCAGATCTTGTACTTGAGTAAAAGTATAAGTATTCAGATCTTGTACTTGAGTAAAAGTATAAGTACTCAGATCTTGTACTTGAGTAAAAGTATAAGTACTCAGATCTTGTACTTGAGTAAAAGATAGAAGTACTCAGATCTTGTACTTGAGTAAAAGTAGAAGTACTCAGATCTTGTACTTGAGTAAAAGTAGAAGTACTCAGATCTTGTACTTGAGTAAAAGTAGAAGTACCAGAGTGTAGGATTACTCTGTTACAGTAAAAGTCCTGCATTCAAAATGTTCCTCAAGTGAAAGTAGAAAAGTATTCTCATCAAAATATAGTGAAAGTAGCGACAGTAAAAGTAGTCATTGTGCAGATTGGTCCATTTCAGAATAATATATATGATATGTTTTATAATGATTGATCATGAAAGTGTTCTCAAAGCTGGTAAAGGTGCAGCTAGTCTGAATGACTTTGTATACTGCAGGGTAGCTGGTGGATTTACTCCAGGTGGAACTAAAGTCTGATTTAACACTTGATTATATTTCACATCATTCATCCAGATCTGAGAAGTAACTAAAGGTATTAAATACAAGGAGTGGAGGAGTACAGATTAGCAGTTCAATGGAAATACTCAAGTAAAGTGTCTCAACATTGTACTGAAGTACAGTACTTGAGCACTTCCCACCATGCTAACATAATTGTAAGCCGACATGTCTCCAATGTAAAAACAAAGCTTGCATCAGGCTCAACAGGATTGAGCATGACATTGTTAAAAGAAACGACTCTGACGGTGAGCAGTAGCATAACATTGTACTTAAATACTTGACTAAATATACTTGGTTAATTTCCACGGCTGTTGTTTACAGATTGTAAACTGATGGTAGCTTGCTAAAGGTTGCATCTAAATCTCTTTTATTTATCTCCTGATATTTCCCCCCCTCGCGTCTGTCACAGCTGCAGCCTCCCAGAATTCTGACGCATCTGTAAAGTAACTAAAGGTATTAAATACATGTAGTGGAGTAAAAGTATACACCATCTAGGCTACCTCTGAACTGTAGTGGAGTAGAAGTAGCCTTCAGAGTACACAATGGAAATACTCAAGTAAAGTACTACAAGTACCTCAAAATTGTAATGAAGTACTTGAGAAAATCTACTAAGTTACTTCCCTCCCACCTCTGCTGTTTACAGATGTTAAACTGATGGTAGCTTGCTAAAGGTTGGATATAAATCTCTTTAATTTATCTCCTGCTACATCCCCCCCCTCCTCCCCCGTCTGTCACAGCTGCAGCCTCCCAGAAATCTGACGCGTTTTTCGCATTTCCTGCAGCAAGAGAGCCGGAGACAGCAGTCTCGTTCCGGGGGGGAGGCATCCAGAGGTCTGTCCACGGGAAGTCAACATCAGCACGGCAGAGGCTGAAACCAGGCCGTGCACCGAGGACCAGGAACCCCCCTTTACCTCCCTTTACATCCCCGTGATCCGCCCCTCCTCTGCGGCTCTCTGCTCGCTGCAGTCCGGCTGAAACACCCCATACGCACCGGTCCTCTGGAGCCTCAAAACCCGGCACACGGTGCGATGAAACCCGGGCTTAATTCTTCCAGGGAGTCCCGTTGCTGCAGTGTTTTTTCACAAGGATACACATCTGGGGCCTTTTGCGCGTTTGTTGTTGTGGCTGTGCACGTCTGAGAAATGCTGCCTCTGGTTATCTGTTGCTGCAGATCATTTGTTTGGGATATTTGCAGCATTTCTTGACAAGTGTAAGGGGAGTGCAAGACGCTAACTTTGAGGAAAACATGTTTTAAATGTGGATTTCTCTCCGTTTTTATTCCACTGGAAGGATTTCTGCCTGCAGGACCACCGGTCTAAACGCTAACGCTGATTAAAAACAGTTTTTGAAGGAGGTATATTTGGATTTTTCTGCGTTGTATTCCAAGAGGAGCACCGGTCAAAACGCTTTCTGATGAAAACATGTTTGCAAATGTGGATTTTACTGCGTAATTACTCCACTGTAAGGATTGCTGTCACAGTGTTTTTTTCTGGATAACCCTGGGTTTGTTTCCACTGTAAACAAGTTGTAAGCAGTAGTGTTTTTGGAGACCCTCTGCCATGGTGATCTTCAACGGGCAGCTGAAGATCCGGATCCGCGAGGCTCTGGATCTGAAGCCCACGGCCTGGTCTCTGCGTCACGCCGTCGGCACGAAGACCCAGAACTTCCTCCTGGACACGTACATCGCCCTGAACGTGGATGATTCCCGCGTGGGGCAGACCTCCACCAAGCAGAAGACCAACAGCCCGAACTGGAACCATGAGTTCTGCACGGAGGTGCACGAGGGCCGGAGGCTCGAGCTCTCCGTGTTCCACGACGCGCCGATCGGATGCGACGACTTCGTGGCGAACTGCATCATCCAGTTTGAAGACATCCTGCACAGCGGGAGCAAGCACTTCGAGAACTGGGTGAGATGTTGTGAGACCACAAGGAGTAGCCTATTCGGAGGTTTTAGTCAAGTGAAAGTAGAAGTACCAGAGTGTAGGAATACTCTGTTACGTGTAAGAGTCCTGGATTCAAAGTGTTACTCAAGTAAAAGTAGAAGTACTCAGATCTCAAAGTCAAGTCAAAGTCAACTTTATTGTCAATCTTTCAGTGTGTTGTACAGACAGAGCGATCAAAATGACGTTTCCCAGATCCCGAATACAAAAACAAATATTTATAAAAATATGTATGCAAATATATACACAATCAAAATACACATGTATATGCACACATTAAGACCTAAATAAAAGCACAACAAAAATAATAGTCACTTCAATATCTTTGAGTATCTTGTAGGCAACATGAGTAAAAGTACCAGAGTGTAGGAATACTCTGTTACAAGTAAAATACCTGCATTCAAAATGTTACTCGAGTAAAAGTAGAAGTACTCCGATCTTGTACTTGAGTAAAAGTAGAAGTACTCTGATCTTTGAGTAAAAGTAGAAATACTCAGGTCTTGTACTTGAGTAAAAGTAGAAGTACTCAGATCTTGTACTTGAGTAAAAGTAGAAGTATACTCAGATCTTGTACTTGACTAAACGTAGAAGTACCAGAGTGTAGGAATACTATGTTACAAGTTAAAGTCCTGCATTCAAAATGTTACATTTTGGCAGTGGTGGAAGAAGTACTGAGTACATTTACTCGAGTATTTTTGTACTTACTGTAAGTAAAGTACACACACGTCAAAAAAGTACATGAGTATTTTAATTTAAAGCTACTTTATATTTCTACTCCACTACATTTCAGAGACTAATATTGTACTATTCAAAGTTTACATATAAAAACACACGAAGGGATGCAACACTGTATTTTTTTTAAATACGCACAGTATTTCAACACATACTGTATGTAAAGGTGGCTCTACATTGACAAACTACAACATTAAAATGATTTGACATGTATTTAAAAGCCTGTATAGAAGAGCCATTCTACATACTTTTACTCTTGATACACAAAGTACATCTTACTGATAGATTATGATAACACTCCACTCCTGAGATATGACACCTTCATTACTCAATTAAAAGTAGCAATATCAAATTGAAAAATTAATCAGAATTCAGAATCTTACTGGAATTAATCCATCATGTTTGGTACTGGTCCCAGCTGTGTGCGTCACTCTTTAGTGTCCCCTGGTCTCCCAGCTGTGTGCGTCACTCTTTAGTGTCCCCTGGTCTCCCAGCTGTGTGCGTCACTCTTTAGTGTCCCCTGGTCTCCCAGCTGTGTGCGTCACTCTTTAGTGTCCCCTGGTCTCCCAGCTGTGTGCGTCACTCTTTAGTGTCCCCTGGTCTCCCAGCTGTGTGCGTCACTCTTTAGTGTCCCCTAGTCTCCCAGCTGTGTGCGTCACTCTTTAGTGTCCCCTAGTCTCCCAGCTGTGTGCGTCACTCTTTAGTGTCCCCTGGTCTCCCAGCTGTGTGCGTCACTCTTTAGTGTCTCCTGTTCTCCCAGCTGTGTACGTCACTCTTTAGTGTCCCCTGGTCTCCCAGCTGTGTGCGTCACTCTTTAGTGTCCCCTGGTCTCCCAGCTGTGTGCGTCACTCTTTAGTGTCCCCTGGTCTCCCAGCTGTGTGCGTCACTCTTTAGTGTCCCCTGGTCTCCCAGCTGTGTGCGTCACTCTTTAGTGTCCCCTGGTCTCCCAGCTGTGTGCGTCACTCTTTAGTGTCCCCTGGTCTCCCAGCTGTGTGCGTCACTCTTTAGTGTCCCCTAGTCTCCAGCTGTGTGTGTCATTCTTTAGTGCCACTCTTTAGTGTTCCCTGGTCTCCCAGCAGTGTGCGTCACTCTTTAGTGTCCCCTGGTCTTCCAGCTGTGTGCGTCAGTCTTTAGTGTCCCCTGGTCTCCCAGCTGTGTGTGTCATTCTTTAGTGTCGCGTACTCTTCAGCTGTGTGCGTCACTCTTTAGTGTCCCCTGGTCTCCCAGCTGTGTGCGTCACTCTTTAGTGTCCCCTGGTCTCCGTTGTGTTCTGAGCTTCTTGCAGCGTTTGGTTTCTGCAGCTTTTAGTTTCCTCAAGTTGCTGGATGTCTTTCCTCATGTGTACAGGAACATTTGTGATTTTATATTTGCGTAGTTTCTGAAACTGCAGCGTATTTCTCTAAATGGAAATGTTTTGGGTCG